GCCAACACCCCTGTAACTACCACCTGGGTCAAGAAATACAACTTTGTTCACCAACTATCCCAAAAGTCCTCCACGTGCACCATCCCAATTACAACTTCCTCCCTTTCCCCCACATTAACCACTATCCTGATTTTCATAGTAATCACTCTCTTGCATTTCTCTATACATAGGAACCCATGTATACATCCCTGGAACTAATACTTTAGTCTTGCCCTTTAAGTTTTTTTTTTTTAATTTGATGTCTTTCAAGTCTTCCATTCCTTTTTTCCTTTCAATTTACCTGTTGATGAATCCAGGCAGTTTGACTGGTAGAATTTCCCAGTCTGGATTTTGCTGACTACACACTCATGGTGCAGCTCAGCATGCTCCCCTGTCCTCTATTTTCCAGAAACAGGTAGTTGGATCCAAAGACTAGATCAGATTCAGGTTTCATCTCTTTGGCAAGATTATAGGTTCTGTTCTTTCATAGCAGGCATATATCTGCTTGCCTCCCCTTTTATGATGGTAGCAGCCACTCATGCTCATTGCCTAGATCCATTTCTTCGCTGGGGGTTGAAAATAGTGATACTCTACTTCTATCATTTCCCTTTTCATTTATTTTTTTAAGATTTTATTTATTTGACAGAGAGAGACACAGCGAGAGAGAGGGAACACAAGCAGGGGGAGTGGGAGAGGGAGAAGCAGGCTTCCCGCGGAGCAGGGAGCCCGATGCGGGGCTCGATCCCAGGACCCTGGGATCATGACCTGAGCCAAAGGCAGACGCTTAACGACTGAGCCACCCAGGCACCCCTCCCTTTTCATTTATTAACTGGGATATTTCTATAGAGTTTTCCCTTACTGACTGTATGGTTACTCAGTAATATGGTTATATAAGGACAGTAATGCTTGACTCTTTCTCTTAATAGTTTTAAAGATAAAAATTAGTTCCTTATTACCCTTCAAAAGTGACCAGTTAGTTTTGGGTATCATTATAAACTTATGGACTGTTTGAGGCATTCCAGTCCATTTTAATTATCATCCTTATTGAAGCCCAAGGTGTCCCATCTTTGGCGCGTAGGAGCCTCCTCAAGTTGTCTCCTGAGTCCTTTGACGTGACCTCAGTAATCTTTGACAGCTTCCTTGCTATGTGTATGACAAGATATTCCTGACTCATCTGGTATGTTTTTTGCCTTGACTTGTGGTCAATCATTTCTCTAAAAATCCCTAGTTTGTTTTTAGTGAGAAATGGTATTTCAACATCACATGAACCGTGAGCACTATGGCTGCATAACTGCTGAGTGGTCAATGGTCTAGGTCTTTCATGGTTAAGGATAAAATACTTTAGTAATTTATCCTGATGCTTCCAACTTAAATGTCAAACTAGAGGGTTTTTACTTAGCTTTGTCTGTATTACCTCTGTTTCTCCTTTCTTCCATGAGTATACTGGTTCTCAAGAACAAAGAGGGTAACAGAACTAAACTGTCCCACATTTGCCCATCTGCTTTATCCCATATTTCACACACAACAGTCTCAAAATGCACTACTAAAAGTATCTCCACTAAGTTGACTTCTAAAAATGGTTTAAAATTTTTTTGGCATTAACTCTCCCCACTCTCCTCCATTTTTGAGTTGTACTGTATCTTCACTGTCAGAGGATAGATTCATTATATGTTGTATTCTCTCCTTGTTAGCCCACAATTATGATTAATTCTACCAATAATTGCATTTAATGCTCATCACTCATCCTAATGTTGATGCATCTCTAGTCATTTTGGTTGGCTGCAACTTATTCTTTACCAAAGGAAGGGCTCAAGGGAACACTATCACCCAAGTGTTTTCATGATTGATGACAGTCTCTCTGTGTGTGTTATACTTGAAAGTCAATTAAAATGGATCTAGAGGGGCGCCTGGGTGGCTCAGTCGGTTAAGCGTCTGCCTTCGGCTCAGGTCATGGTCCCAGGGTGCTGGGATCGAGCCCCGCATTGGGCTCCCTGCTCCACAGGAAGCCTGCTTCTCCCTCTCCCACTCCCCCTGCTTGTGTTCCCTCTCTCGCTGTGTCTCTCTCTGTCAAATAAATAATAAAATCTTTAAAATAAATAAAATAAAGTAAAATGGATCTAGAATTCTTGGTTCACATTTTCTTCCCTGAAGTATCTTAAATGTTTTCCTTTAGCATAAAGCGTTACCATAGCAAAGTCTGCCAATACTTGCCCTTTCCTTAGCAGCCTCTTTGCCCAGATGCTCAGTTTCTTCCACCCCCCTTTCATTTAGAGTTCAATAATTTTACTAGAATGTTTCAGTGATTGTTGTTCTAAATCCATATTCTCAGGTGTGTAACATGTGCTCTTTCAATACTGAATTTCAATTCTTTTATTTCAGGTAACATTTCTGAGATTATAGATTTGTGTTTGTTCCATCCTTTTACTTTGTTGGTGTTTCAAATCAGGAACTCCCTAGTATCCTTATGTTGGATCTTTTCTTCCTCCCCACCCCCCACTGTCTTTTTTTTAACTTTTTTTCTTTTTACTTTTTTTTTTAATTTTATTTTTAAGTAACCTACACCCAACGTGGTGCTCAAACTCACAACCCCAAGATCAAGAGCCGCATGTTCCACCAACTGAGACAGCCAGGCGCCCCTTCCCCCATTCTCAATATTCATTATTTTCTCTTGAATCCTTTTTATTTCTTCACTTATGATTGATTTTTTAAAATCTCTTCCTTGGGCATCTGGGTGACTCAGTCGGTTGAGCGTCTGCCTTCAGCTCTGGTCACGATCCCAGGGTCCTGGGATCAAGTCCTACATCAGGCTCCCTGCTCAGCAGGGAATCTGCTTCTCCCTTTGCCCCTCCCCTGGCTTGTGTGCTCTCTCACTCTCTCTCTCTCAAAAAAAATTAAATTAAATAAATAAATAAATAAATTTTTTTTAAAAATTAAAATCTCTTCCATTAATCCAGTATTTCTCTTAAGCTATTACCTGTTGTGTTTCATTGCTCTTAGCTGCATCTTCATTTTTGAAATGACTTTTATTTCTAACTCTTTCCTGAGTTTTGTCACTTTGCCTCTGTTCTTTCCTATTTCGTATCATTTTATTAAACATTTACCTTGTTTTGAAATAAGATGCTACAGGGGCGTCTGGGTGGCTCAGTCGTTAAGCGTCTGCCTTCGGCTCAGGTCATGATCC